TTCACTTTTCTATCATTATTAAGTAGCAAAAATAATAAATAATCATTAGAAATTCTTTTTAATTTCTTGCGAAAAAGATTTTTTTCCCCTTTGATCCGGAAGTTAAAGAGTTATAATAAATGGCCGAATATGAGAAGGGGGAGTTCGCTCCAGAAAAATGTGGAACTCTAAATATTTTTTCTTTCCTACCGACATGTAGTACAGCACGTCGTTGTCGTTTTGTGACAAAAGAATCTCTGATGTACGTAGCACATTTTTCTAGCGTAAGTGGTTGACAATGATCAAACCTTTTTGCCTTTTAAAGTAAAGGTTGACGTTAACAACCTTATCTGGGGGAGGGTCACAAGAAAAGGTGATGTGAATTTAGCTTTAATTCAATTGAAGATCAAAGGAGGGGGGAGAAACCATTTATGTTCATGAAAGCTAATTTTGAGAAAAACGACTTTCAAGGTTCCAGCATTTACAGGAGAAAACATTCGATTGAAATCGTAAAAATAAAAACATACACGAATGCCACAAGCATTTATTTGTATCCCCTAAAAATTTCATTACAAAATTTAAAAATTTTGATGTTGAAAAAAAAATTGAGTTGAACAAGAACCGTTTTTTCCTCAATATTCCTTCCCAATCAATACTTTCTCAGTAGCATTCCCTCCGTTTTCTTCACTATATTCTTATATTGTTCTTCTTTAGTCTACACGCTAGACAGGAACCGTTTTTTCCCCAGCACGGCCTATCTTCACTGAGTAATAACTCTGGAGGAAAACCTATTTTCCACGTTAATCAACAGACTAAATTTAATAATTCTGAAAATGCAACAAATGGCGATCCAACCATCATTTTTTTTTTAAATTGGACACGAACTGTTCTTCCCCCTCGTCTTCGATTAACAATTACTCAATTATTCTCTTAATTTTATAAGAAAAATAAAAAAAATTCTATAATATTTAAAAGACAAAATATAACGAAATGTATATATTTACTAAACACGTGTAAAATAGTTACGAAGTAAATAATAAAAAAGAAATTCAATTTTGTAAGCATTGATTTCTTTATATATAATGTAACAAAGAAAACAACACGTTACATGTGAGAGCTTTACATTATAAGTTTTTATAAATTTAACTCATAGCAAGTTTTCAAATTTTTCTGGTGGTAAAATAATTTTAATACTTTGTTTAATGTAAACAAACTTGAGTATTTTTTTTTTTCGTTGACTGTCGAACTGTCAATGCTTTCCGTTTTCCGTTACACGTTTTTTTAAATGAATAAATAAAAAGACAAAATATTTAAAGCTTTTTGCATTCTGGAATTTTAATGTTCTGACCTTTATATATTTTTTAAACTATTGAATTAAATTGGAAGAACAATTATAAATTTTTCTTATGCATTTTAGGTAGTTTTATCAAATTATTTAGTCGTTAGAACGCTGAGATCTCACAATAACCAATTTAATGATATCATCTGTCCCCAGGTTTAATTCTCCAGAGAAAACTTTGTAAAATTTTTGACTTCAGTTTTTTTGGACAAAATGAAAAATTAAATGGAATGTACCAACTATTTCGAAAAGAAGAAAGAAATTTCATAGAACTGCTTTATTGAAAGGGAGTATTTTTGACATAAAATGAAGAACTTCTTATAAATTTTTTAGAAGTACACTTAATTTAATAAAACATGTGCAATCCTTTTCTACTGCAAGTTTGTTATACTCTAAGTTGCCCATGGTAACCATTTATTTTATGGTCAGGGTCACTAAGAAAAAAGAAATCAATATTTTGGTAGCCTACTTACATCTACGATTAAAAGTTGTCTTGTATCATAACTAAGAACCGAAATGATAGAAATGGTATCTCAAAATTAATATTTGTATTCAGGGCCTGGGGCAAATCTTTCAAGCTTGTCAAACTCTTCATTTTTTATGGTTCTTAGTATTTGCTAAAGTTTTTTTTTGCTCTAAAATTGAATCCATTTTTGTAGAAAATAATGATCTCAATGATTCCTACACTTTTTGTATTTTGTTAATATTATTATATTTATGTATGTGTTAAAGAGGATAATAAATGTTTTCAGTAGTAGAATTTTAATGTTTACTGAATAAAAATATATAATACAAATTAATAAATTTATTCGTAATCACTACCTACTAATAAAGAAATTATTTTATTTTTTTCTGAAAACAAATTAATTACCAAAAATCTAATAATCATAATTTATCACTAAATCAGTCATAATTTATCCCAACAAAAACTTTCTAAACTTATTTTTTCTTCTTTTGAAGGGGAAAAATACTGCTTGGTGTAAATACAACTTTAAAATTGTAATGATGAATCACATGGTGCAATGTCTAGTAAGAGCTCATGTTGGATTTTCCATTCTTAATTTTCATTTTCTTTCTCCCTTCTTTTTTACCACTTTCTTTTCTTAACAAACTTTTAATGATAGAATATTATTCCAAAGCCAAATCAATATGTCAATAAAAAAGTTAAGAAATAAAAACTTCAGTTTATTAGATTAGGAATAACACCAATTGATAATTTCTTAAACTCTTAACGATTTTTTTCGATATGGTAATTTAATGCTGAACATTTATCTGTTTCTTATATTTTTTTTTTGAAAAATTACTTTTATTTTAATTTGAATTGACGAAAATCAATTATTTTAATGAAGATGAAAAAATTGCTTAAACATAAATTACACAAACGCCAAGTATTTTATTTAAAAAAAAGTGTTAAGAACTGATTTTTTTCCCTTAGAAAAGCTGACTAAAGAATTTCATTCTCATGATTTTGCTAAAAAATCTGTTAAAATTCTAAACCTGCTTTTTTCTTTATTCCATTCTGATCGGGTAAAAACTTTTTACAGTGAAACCTGTGTAAGTTCACTACTAAAGCAATGCATTGCAAAAGATTAGAAGTGGTCAACTTATGAATCGGTCTTTTTTCTTCGTCATTTTTATGTCATGTTATTTTTCCCATACTAGGTTTTTAATAAATATTAAGGGGACCCGAAAGTAATGTCATTTTGGTGCATTTGATATTTGTTTTCAAGATTTTATTTTTAATCAAAAATGTATTCACCCACGTTAGCAACAACCTTTCAATGCCAGATCGAAAGTGAATCGGAAAAAAAATGAATTGGTTTTCAAGACTAACGAATATTAAATACGCCGGAACGACATTACTTTCCGGTCCCCCTAATATTAAGCTGGTTTCTTGACCAAGAAAGGAACCGCTATTTTGCAAAAAATTACAATCCAAGATCTTTCAACACTGAAAAACTCCTAATTGAATTAGAATTCAAGAGAAAGTTCACCTTCGACCTTTTAAATGAAGACTGGGAGAGTCTCTTAAGTTCAAAGTTTGCTGTTCCAGATTTTCTTAGTCCGGTAGCAGTGGATGGATGTTATGGAGAAACATAGCAAAGACTAAATCTAGATTTCGTAAACTGACTGAGACCACCTTGATCGTTAACCAGCTGTAGTGCCTGAGAAGAAAATGTAGCAGTGGCATTACTTCGTCATTTAACTAGACAGGATTGCTGAAATGCATATTCAAAATTGGTCTGAAAGACACTTTTGTTCACACTCCCAGTGACTTTGAAAACTTATGAATTTTAGGCACATTAACAAATGCATTGCAATAAACTCTTTCACTTCTACAGCATTAAAGTATTGAGGTGAAGCAAAGAATGTGGCTAAGTGATCAAATGACTGGCATTTGTATGCACCCCTTGCAGTTAATTATGAAAACTGGTTAAGATGAGGAAAGTTAACACAAATTGAAGATCTCAAAAACAAGAGGTGCCCATTTTCACAACTCAACGGACATAAATGAGAAAAACTAAATAATTTTGAAGAAAAAAAAATTGACAATGAGAAAAATAATGAAGGTGAAAAACAAAACAAGTTAGCAAAAGAAAATTATATTGGCTGAGAAAAACAAAGTCACATCAAAAATTGACTACCTTTGATGTGACTGTAGAAAATGAGTTACATTAATATGTTTTTTTTCTTCACCCAGCTCACACCTTTCACAGTGCTAGCATTAAATATCCTCAGTGGTAGATGGATTGTGAGTTTAAGTCCCCTTGCGGTCAGGCTAACCAATGAAAGTTTTCCGGGTTTTCCTCTCCATGTAATGCAAATGCCAGTTAGTTCCATCAAAAAGTCCTCCACAAAGCAAATTTCTCCCAATTCTTAATACAGGAGTTCCCTTGTCTTCTGGATTGGGTTCAACATTACAAGGCTAGGGAGTTGAAAATTAGTAGCCGTAAATCTTAAATTGGGTCGGCTGTTCAACGAGCAATACATTATTTCATCAAATAAAACTTTTTTAATGGAGACATGAGTGATTTCAGTTTTCTGTGCTCCTCTGGGTTGTGGTGGCTCAGAGCATAGAGCGCTCCCCTCCCAATGAGGTAAACCGGGTTTGAAAGCCGGCAATGGCTGTTTGGTTTGAATTCCTCACCGGGACGCAACCACCACTGTGCTGACGTAAAATATCCTCAGTGGTAGATGAATCATGGGTTAGAATCCCCTTGTCGTTAGGCTAACCATGAGAGTCTTTGTGGTTTTCCTCTCCATGTAACGCAAATGCAAGTTAGTTCCCTTAAAAATGCCCTCTATGAAGGCAAATTTCTCCCAAGGAGTTCCCTTATCTTCTGGATTGGGATCAAAACTACAAGGCTACAGCGTTGAACATTAGTAGCCATAAACCCAAAATTGGGTCAATTGTTTAATCAATTGTTTTAAAATAAAATAGAATGCACCAAACACTGTTTTCATCTTGGGAAACATAATTTACGCCAAAGAAGGATCTTCTAAACATCTGAAACCAGCATTGATGAATGAAATTTTTAAAAGCATTGTCATTATACCAAAAAATAAACAGTAAATTTTATAATGCGTTGTGTGCTTTGATAATTTGATCAAATTTGATCTGATTGTTTTATTATATACACATCATAACAGAATAATTCAGAATATATTTAAGAATGACGATTAACAGAATAAGATTTATTTTACTATTTACACAAAATCAAATTTAAATAAATATTTTCTACAAATACAATTTTCTTTGGACGGTTGTTTATATTGGATGGCTCTGAATCACATTATAGGGTTGTAAATAAACTCTTTATTCGCTTGAACAAGTCATTAGAATCTGTGTGTTCTGGATACGCTTCCAACGATTTTTGAACCATAAAATGCGCATTTTGCAGATCTCCTACCTGAAATAATATTATACATAACTCTTTAATGAAATAAGTCAACTCTCTAATGAAATAATGTATAATTCAATATAATTTCAATAATTCAATAATAATGTATAATTTCAATAATCAACGAAAATTGGCAGAATCAAATGAGTTTAATTTATTATTATTTTGTTTTTCTGCAAGACAGAAAAACATAACTAAGGACAAAACAGTAAGTTGAAATTGAAATATTAATTAAATAAAATTATATATTAATTAAAAATATTATAGATTAATTAAGAATATTGTTGATAAATTAATTAATCTTCAAAAATCTATGGATAATGGGACATTTTTAGAATTCAATTTCATATGGAAATTAAGGAGATAAAAAAAAATTTATAATAAAGAAAAATTCATATTTTTTCCTTTTTCATTGCCCTGTTCTAAAAACATAGTTTAAGAAATCATGTACAGTCTTGCCTAGTAAATAAATTTAATTCATAGAAGTTCCAGCTTTCCACAATATTTTAAGTGATAGTCAAATAAAAATTAAATAATCAAATGTTTTTACAACTTTACCAGCTTTTAAAAGCATCTCAATTCACTTATGAAGTCTAGGTGGCATTCAAAATCTTTTTAAACCAAATAGAACTTGCATAAATTTTGCTACCACTTTAAATGTTCAGGGAAAATCTTTGGTTAACAACTACAGAACTTGGTAGTTTTTTCTAACTCTTTCACAATTTGAAAATTAATATAGAAGTTATTAGAAATAAATAATCACACGAAGAAGAAAAAAGTGAAGTGAAAAATATTTTTGAAAGTAAAAATTATGCAATGAAACAAGAAAAAACACAACTGCAGACAAAATAAGTAAAAAGAAACCACAGTATCCAAGGAGACAAATGTTGAAAAAGCAGACAAATCAGGGTAGGATACATTTCCATGCATAATACAAAGGATAACTGACACTAATTTATAAATATACTGCTGGTTTTTAAAGCTGAATTCGGATTGTTCAAAATTTTATTTGTGTAACGTCCATGTCATTTTACCATAAAAATCAAGACTCAAAACTATGCAGTTTTCCAATCTTGTTATGGCACAATTAGTTGTAATTTTTTCAAAAAATAATTTCAAAGAATTATATCATTAAGTCTAAATCATCTAGTTAAATTTTTGATAACATATTATCTGCCAGAATCTTTCAACATTTACGACAGCCTTTTCAATACCATATCACAATACAAATTTGTGTTTAATGAAGTTACATCACACACTGCCAAAAGTTTCAAATTATACATTTCAGCAGTTCCTGAAGGGATTATGTTGAACACAGTTAAATCATGTTTATCTTTAGTCAAATCGGATCTCCAATTGTATTATTGAGCAACTAGTATTTTGCTTTATAAATATTTTTACATGTAATGTTCAGGAAGTAATAAAGTTAAATTATTTAGTGTTTAGGATTTAACAGGATTCAGATACACACATCCATGCATTAATGCATTCTCACTTTGACAGTAAAAATTTGGGTCTGATTTGTTTCTAATTTTCAGTAACAAACATTTTAAAAAATTACATAACATTTCATTGAAACCATACCATAGCAGTCAATTCATAGTAGACATTTAGAGTACTCAATAAAAGAAAAAAAAATATTTCTACATACCTTTTCAGAAAGAAGAGCTTGGTTAAAATGGGGCTCAAATAAATGTTGACCAAGATTTGCTGCAGCTACAAAAAATGCCTTGGCCTTTAAGAGAGAAAAAATTTAACATACAGCATACCAGCTAACCTATATTACAATGAATTTGTTTTACGTTGCTATGCATGCAGTGGTAGTAAACAAACAAAAATGCAAGAGACATATCAAACCAAAATTAGAATTTTTAAACTGTGAAAGTTTAAGTGTAGGTATAGCATCATGATCATTAATTATTTAATGGAATCACTTTCAGAGCTACTGAAATTATTAATATTTCTATCTTGTAAACAGCTAAAGAAAAAAGGTCTGTGGAGGTAGTAGATATTGACAATGTTAACCTTCATCTATGAAAAGGTACCCCGACATAGAATCGAGTTAACATGTCTCATATACTAGTAAATTGGGATTGTATTTTTGTAGTGGTAGATACACTACAGTACTCCCTCACCAGAATTATATTTGTGATAGAATTCGATGAACAGATACTACTAGTTGATTCATTGCTGTCTTGCGAGAAGCCGGGAGAGCTGTATTAAGATCACCGTACTTTTTTAATGGTGAGAGCTGTATTAAGTTCACGATCGTGTTCGCTCCTGTGTTGTCTTTAGCAGTCGTGCATATACGTTGTGCGTTATGTGCGTGTGAGATTGAGTAGCAACAGTGCGAGGAGGTAGATAATGTTGCAGTCACAAGTAGCAAATCAACTGTTCAATGTGGACCATCCATCGAAGTGGGCGTTACTACCAAGGTAGGCGTGTTCACATCATGTCCGGGTCACCAATATGGAGGTAGTAGATATCGGCAATGCTAACCGTCATCTTTGAAAAGGTACCCCGACATAGAATCGAGTTAACATTTCTTATATACTAGTAAATTGGGATAGTATTTTTGTAGTGGTAGATACACTACAAGGTCCTAATTGTAAACTGGGTAAACTTCTAAATTGTAAACTGGGGTTAATTCAGTATATAATTAAAAATTTTAATTTATCTAATAACTAAACAAAAATCACTTCATGAATGACCCTCTAAAACTCCACAATGAAAAATCCAAATTGCAAGAACCTGACCCATTTTTCATCAATTTAAGGATTTCAAGTTGGTTTTGATTAATTTTTATAGTAAAAGCACGATACATACAAAATTTATGCCTGTCAATTTGATTAAGAAAGATTTAAAAGAAATTTGCAAAATTATTAATCTATGAAAAATATATAATCAAAAATTTCTTAGAATTTAAGTTCAGTTTTACATTAGTTTCAAAATTGTTTTGACCAATAAGAAAAGCTTTTGTTCGAAATTTTGATTTAATGAGATATAACATTGCACTTAAACAAAACATTTACTAATTAAACAGAAACAAAATTTCAATACAAGAGAGATAATCATTTAAAATCAAAAACAGATGGTAAAAAGAAACATTTATGAAAAATGAAAAGCAACAGTAACTTATCAACTATAATAGAACAGAACAAAATCAATGGCTACCACTGGTCACAAGTCAACTAAATATAAGAAATGGCGATTAAAACACTGTTAGCGAGTTACCACACAATTGCAATTTTTTAAAGTTAAAAATGCCTCATGCATTTTTTTCATAATAAATATGGAATTGTTACAAATATTTCATATTATCCTGAAAATTAGTTTATTTCACGCTTATTTCTTCATTTTGAAAATAAACTTTGCAATGTTTACCATATTCTGAGAAACACTTCAAAAGAAATGCTTTTACATAATAGTAACATTTCAGGACTGCCATCATTTTGTGAAAGAGTAGCATTTATAAAAACTAACAAACCTGGTCTAAGTTTCCTTTGGTCCCTTCAATAACACCAAGGTTGTTATAAGATTCAGCATGATCATTGTTTGCAACTAATGCGAGTCTAAGGCACTGAGTTGCAAGACTTTTGTCACCAATTCCCTGAAAGTTGAATAAGATTTTTTTTTATATCTTGACAAATCTATTCTTTAAAGAAATGAAGAAATAAATTTATTTAAACGAGACATTATTACAAAAAGAAATTATTATAAACAAATTGTAATTATAAAATTTCGATAGAAGAATGTTTCAAAATCTATTTTATGTAGGAGAATTACAAATAAGAGGATTTACACTTAATTTCAGAAACAAAATTAACTGATTTTTCCAAATTTTCAAGAAAAATTAGACGTAAATTTCTGTTATACAGATCACATTTTTTACTATACAGAGCCATATGTCATTAGAAAAATATCTATTTTTAAGTTTATAAGCCATGAAACTTACTTTTTGATAGAAAATATGTCAAATATTTTCTATCAAAAAAGAATATATTAAAAAATATAATTTCTCTAGACCAAGAAATGTAATGATATACAGAAAATTGTAAAGCTCCAAATATAATATAGTTTATTAAAAGTCCCATTAGTCATAAAGCCATCATATAATATTATATCTCACATGTAATTAAGAACCAAAGTTAATTATATAGAAAGCCAAATTATTTAAATTAAATTTAAAAATAGTTAAATAAACAGTAATATTAAATTGCAAATGTGGTTAGATTTAAGAAGAAAAAAATTAAACAACAAATCAATAAAGAAAGAATATTTTGAACAAATTTATATTACAATTTTAATAAAATCTAAGAAAATTTAACCATGTTGCAGAAGATTTTTTACTGAAAATTACAGTAAAATGGATGAAAAAAATATCATTTACTATTATTATTAATATGTACTAGGTTATTACTTTGAGCCTCTTTGGCTACTTGGGTATAAGAGAATTTTAAGCTTGGTTATTAGCCAGGTTTGTTGCAGGATTTTCCTGGGTTTCGAGTAAAAATCGTAATAGTCACAGTTTTTTTTCTTTCTCTCACTCTCTATTTTTGCAGGATAATTTTAGGTTAGAAAATTTTTTTTTGTCTCTGACAACTTTAGGTATTCCCGACTCCATTATTATCATAAATAGTCTAGCTCAAGTAATTTTTTTTAAAAAAAAATGATAAATAATGAAAATTATAAATAAGATCTAAGCATCTGACATACAAATGTATTTTTAAAATAAAACTACATATGTTTTAATTTTAGATTTAATCATAGCAGTTTACTTTATAGCAAGTATAACAAACATACATCAATACATTTTGTTTGAGAAAAAGATATGAATTTAATCCGTTATTTGTTCTTGAAGAAACCATTGTTAGGTGTAAACTAATCGAGATTTCTTTTCTTCTTTCTTTTTCAATTCAAAAACATAGCATGCTATGAGAAATTGAGTATTTCAGTTTTAAATAGTAGAAAATAATAGATATATAATTCAAACCATTTGACGTAACAGTTTATAATTATGGGCAACACAAATATGAACTTAGTTAAATATATATTTAGAATGAATTCATTTTTTTAATAAAGAGCAGAAGATTTATTTAATGAATAATTATTCGCCACTTAATGCTTAACTTTAAATTAAATTTCTTTTAAAAAAAATAAATAAACCATTAAATATAATAAATTTTTTCCACCTATTTCATAAAGTATGCACAAATTTATGATTTCTGGGCATGCTTACGTTGAACATTAAAGACATCAGACTTAAAAAGAAAGAAAGCAAATTGGCATACAACCAAACTTCAATTCATAGAATTTTTTAGGTTTTATAAAATTAATACAATGCAAGTGATGCTCATTAATTACTTCTAAATTAGCTTAGAGTAATAAAACCATTTTTGAGTTTTCTGAAAAACACAAGACAAAGCAATAAATTGGTTTCAAATAATTAATAAAATCTAAGCAGTTTTTTAAAAATATAATCTTAAAACATAGTATTTTATCAAGCATTTTAACTGTGAAAATAAAAATAAACAATAAAACATATGTCAAGAATAAATATGTCAACCATGAAATTACATTTTACTAATGCAACGCAAAAAAAAAATTTAAACATAACTCTTTATTATTTTAAAAAATACAAAATGTTATTTCTTTTAAGTAATTTATTCTTAAATAAAATATGTTCAAAAAATATTTTCATATTTTAAAATTATAATTTTTTTTCAACTTTATTTCTGAAAAAATATTTTTTTTACAAAATTCTTAAAATAATTTTTTGTACACAGTAAAAGCAGGTGGATTTAACAAACAGAAAAAATAATCTACACTCACCAATGCTAAATGACCGATATTATACCAAACATCTGGTAAAGTTTCATCAGTAGCAAGTGAAAGAGCTCTTTCAAAGCACATAACAGCCATATCATGCTGTTGTGAGTAAAAACAACACAAAGCTAAATTGTTATATAATTCACTATTACACACTCCCATTTGTAATAATCTCCTGAAAGAGAACATTAAATAATTAATACAATAATTTCTTTTCAGCTATTTTAGTCAATTTTTATTACCTCTTTAAATATATTAGTATTCTTTAATTTGTAATTTGGAACACAAGAAGAAAAATGAACATTTTTTTTAAATTAGCCTCAGCAAATTTCAGCAGAATCTTGAGTTGGATGCATTACTTTTCTAAATTTTTAATGATGTTCAGATAACTAATTTAGTTTCAGATGGAATAAAAATAAACCACTATAGTAGTGGTTAAGATTGAAGGATTATGGCTCGATCCCCGGTGGAAGCTTGAAACCCAACCAGCTTCAGATTGACAGGTACCAAGACACTGGGAAGTAAATACAGTCAATGCCTAATGTTGACCACATTGCCAAATTCATGCCATAGTTTTGAAAATTGTAGAGCTTTAACATCTCTGACCCTCTTGGTTGAAATGGACTAATGTGGAAACATTTTAATTTGGTATAAAATATTAAACACAGAAAATGAGATCATTAATTCTTAATACACAGAAAAAATCCTGGAAAGATTAAAAACGAAAAGATATTTTTGTCTACTGGATTTAAAATCTTATCTATTAGTCGAAATTTTTATCTATTGGTCAATATTTTAATAAACAATCGAACTGTATAAACTTTTATTGTGGCAAATGATTACCAGTCAGAACTTCTGTGGCAGAATGATCAATAACTTTCTAAAAAATACTTATCTGAAGTTTTAACTTTATTCTATTGTTTACTGTTAATAAAAATTTTATCCATATGTCAACATTTTTATCCATTATCACTACGATATGACTTAATAAAGTTTTTGTAGGGACAAAATGATGCCCCACTTGAACTTCTGATGTAGAAAGACCAGCAACTGCAGAAAAACAATTTGAAGTTTTCTCTTGTCTACTGAATATAAAATTTTATCTATAAGTTAATATTTTTATCCATCAGTTGAATTTTTTGATAAAATGATGTCTAGCCTTAACCCTGGGGCAGAAAGACCAAGAACTTTAAAAAAAAATTATCCAAAGTTTTTATCATCTTTCAATTGCCATAACAGCCGAAAATATCACCAATAGAGGCCTTAAGTGTAATAGCTCAACAGATCAGGCCATTTTGGAGAAAACTACAATAGCCCATCTGACAAAAATTCTAATTTATCAAAGTTAAGTTAGTAAACAAGTATTTAAAAAAAATATCTTTGCAAATCAACCTATAATATCTCAGAGCAACTTCAGGCTGATCATTGTAGAAATGATGAGCAGCAATGCATGCAATGGCTTCTACATCAATGGCTTCATAACTCAAAACATCTCTGTAGTACTTTACAGCAAGATCTAAGTCATTCAATCCCTAAAGAAACATTTGCTGACATTAAAACGCCTTGTAAATAAAAAAAACTACTTAATATCTATTTTTTCTTATGCATTACATTACCTCATAAATTCTAGCTGTATGTACCATAAGATAGGTTTCTTCTGGAAATTTTTCTAAACCTTGCTTGTACATATCAAGTGCTGCCAAGGGTTGGTCTAAGGCCACATATACCTGAAAGATAAAAAAAAATTTAATATACTTAATGGAAAGAGAGGAGACAAAACAAAATCTGTTTCAATAATGACTACATTTTTTATACATATTTAACAATGCTTAATTTTTATATCACAATTCCATTTATAAGAACAGTTAATTTTTTGCAAAATAAATTATTTCTTAGAACAGGGTGCATAGTCAAATATTTCAATAAAAAATAAGCACCTTTTAAGTACTTTTTAAGCACTCAAAAATATTTTTAAGCACTACATACATTAACAAAATGCAAAATAATTTTCAAAGACTATATGATCATGATAAAATAACTAGTTTCTGACAAAGAAATCTTTTCTTGTTTATATTAGCCATTATAAAATGATCGAGAGAATTTTAGTTTCGATATCAGAGGGTGTAAAATGAAGTCTGAAATTGATAACATCTAGCAAAATGCAGCAGAGTTGCAAATGAGAAGGCAACAATCTCACCGAACCCAGCTCAATAGACATTCATACCGACTCGTAAGTATTTCATTAAACATGTAAAATGATTGGCGCGTTCACACGCTATGGCCCGACGGTAAACCAAAATAAACTGTCAAAACATTGAATAGAACAATGTGAAAAGCACGCTTTTGCATAATATGTAGCAAAAATCGACATGGTGGGGAAAAAAAATTTCATTTTCAAAAAGGGAAAAATTAAACACTTTTTAAAAACTCCCAGTGAAAAAAGCACCTTTAAGTGCTTTTAAATAATGAAAATCAACAAGAAGCACCTTTAAGCACTTTTTAAAAACGCTACGCACCATATAACTAATAAATTAGTAAAAACATGCAAAAAACGTGCACAGACAATGTAATAAACCAGCATGCACAAAATGAATACAATTATGCTTATTTATAACAAACAAAAAAAAATTGCCTTATTGAATCAGTGTACTCATTAAGTCAAAGTCTATCAAAATTGTCAAGAATGAGATCTGTAATTCAGACAAATAAACTACAAATTGTTGAAAAATGATTTACCATTTATTTTAGATAACTAGTTAGACACTAGAAAACTGGAAATTTTGTAATTTAACTTTGTGCCTTTTTTTTAAAGCAATTAATCAATTTACAATATTCTCACTATCAAAGATTTGTGTTAATGAAATGGATGCAACACGAAAAATGAAGAAGATCATACACATGATAAACAAACAATTTTGATGGTGCATATAGGAACATTTGGAGGTCCAGATTATTCAATTGCATAGTAACAATTTCTATTAGTCTATAGCCACAATTTTTCATTTATTTGTTGCCTTATATTGCTCTAGCCTCTTTGCTCAGTTGGTTGAGTGATTCACAGGAAGACAGATTAAATATTCTTACACTTCATTTCTTATTAACTTACATTATTCAATAGATTCTATAAAAGAGGATTTTTTAAATTCCATCAAAGGGACTGTAAACAGTCATATTCGGAGCAATTTTGACACCATCAATACATTTATTTTCAAGACGTTTAAGAAAAAATCCTTGTAACAACAGTTTTATGATGGCTCTTTATAACTAAATTAATTATTCTTAAAAAATTTCTTTTCTATACTCAGAATCTGGAAAAGTCAGGATTCAGAATAAAAGAAATTGACTGTGATTTAGTCACTGGGAAAAACCCCTTAGGTCCAGCATTTCTTCCAAAATTCCTTTCACAGTTTGTGGTACTTAAAAAGTTATTTTATTACATAAAAATTATCAAACTTCCACCTTTTCAAAGCTGCCGACAGGGGCAGTTAACATACTCACAACTGAATAAAACATGGTGTTTAAGCTCAAATTAATTTCATCTAATAAGCTAAATTAATTTCAGTTTTTAAATCAATCTAAATGCAAATTTTTTTTTAATATACCACTACTAGAAATACATGGCCTATTAAAAAAATAAGGTAACCCTATTTTCCTTTTTTTTTTAAATATTTCCTCCTATTATTTTTTTTTTAAACAACTAAACTCAAAGGAATGTTTAAACTGAACTTGATAGAAAATAAAAACAAAAACCATTAATACCACATACTTTTCCTAACCACAAAAATGAATCTATCATGTCTTGTTGTTTGATTGCAGATTTGAACTGTTTTTCAGCATCACGAAACATTCCAAACCTAATGTTATAAAACAATAAAAAATTATTATAATTAAATCTTAATGTATTTTATAAAGTTGCATATCAGAATAACCACTTAATTAAAAAACAAAATTGGCCAGAATTTTTTTATAAATCATATTTTTGTAAGCTTAAATGTTTTAACAATGTGCTTGGGAGCTACTTTTTATTAAAAATGTTTTTACAACGATTCATTTAGAAAATGAGTATTTTCTCAAGAAAATAATTTAATTGTAATACATCTTTCTTATTTTAATTTTAAAAAATTCAAATCACTGAAATAGTTTTCTTATTAATGAAAATAACTGAATTGAAAGGTATACTGTCACTATGGATTAACATAAAATATCAATACAGTTTTAAATACTAATTAGACAATATATGCTGGAAATTAGTTATTTAAAGCTTCAAATATTTTAAAAACTAAAACATGTATTTTAAAAAGTTCAGAGCTTTAAACATTTATTATGATTATTATTCTTTTTAAAATTCAGTTCGATTACTATCAACATTTAACAAAGCATAGCAAAACATAAATAATCACTATTAATTTCAGTTAAAATCTTAATAAGAACACCAGTTTTGGAGAATAAAATTATAAACAAATTTTATTTAGTTACTCATACAGGTTTCAAAGATAACTTTAAAAAAATTTATGACAAATCATGAATGAAATAGTATGTAAATGAAATGACAATGACAAACTCAAGTGATTTGCAGAACAAGGAATCAAAATAATGGACTATTTCTCAAAAAATACTTTTCAGAGAACAAATTTTATTATAAAATTTAATATATTACACAGTATAATAAAATTGAAAGCTATAAGGAATAGTATCAAAAATATAGTGTCGAAACATTTTTAAATACTCATTTGTCAAATTCTAAAAAACTACATGGCTAATTAGTTATTGATTTTGACACTTACTTTGACAAATTTAGCATCAAACTGGCTTTTTAATTATTGTTATTTTTAGCTTTAATTATTATCTTCAGTCTAATTAATACTTAATAAAAAGTAGGTAAAAATAACATATTAATCATCATTGATTATTTTGAAGAATTTGGCAATGTCTTTAAACAAAGAAGATGAAATAATAGAGGAAGAGTGAGTAATAGATGAAGATAATATGCCTCAGGCCTTAAGTGCACTAAGAGGATAAGTAGTAATAGATAAAGTAATAAATACAATAACATATGTAATATCAAGTAGAAATTAAATTTACAGAACAAGGATCTAATGTTTAAAATCTGGATTATTAACTTTATTTAAATTGTGCCATTTATAAAATCCCTTACTCAAATGATCTATTCTTTTATCACTTTTAAACATTACTTTCTAATAAAACATGTAATAAGTAATCTAAATGTAAAATATTAGCTCGTACATTTCTGAAAGTTTCTTCACTATAACTACAAAAAAAATCTTTTAGAAAGTGGTATAGGTAAATGTTAAATTCAAAATAAATTGTGATACTTTTATTCAAATAATTATCGTTATTATTATAGATTATTTCTTCATGAAAGATTAGTTTATAAAAAGTAAGTTAAATACCTGTAATAACACTTTCCAAGTTGAAACTTCCACCACCAATCTTCAAACTTGCAAGCTTGAGTGGCTTGAGCAGCTATATCTAATGCCTGAAAATTTAAAATTAATTTTTAAAATAAATTTTTTTTAAATTATAAAAAAATTCTTTAAGTACAAAAATTTTATGGTTATTAGGAAACAAATTTGCAGCTCAATAGTGTCTCTTAAAAAACACAGCTGATTAATTTAATGGTAAATTTTAAAACAGACCAATAGAATCTCTAAAAATAGTTTAAAGTATTATTACAAAAATACTTAGGTCTTTTTTGAAAGTAGTGGTATCATTTTTCCTATATAGAATCATAGTATTTTCACATAAAAACATATTTCAGAAGTAAAATAAGCTAACTTTCATAAGAGATTTCATTTTATTTACTAACCAAACTTTTAGTGTTTAATATTGTACAGACAATAAAATATTTTTGCATGAATGATACAAAAATCTGAAATTAACTAAAAAGGAAAATAATTAATATTTCAGTGTTGAAAACAACCATCCTAATCTAAACAACTATCTTGAATAAACAGATCTTTAATAAAAAATTTATTCTTATACATTTTGTTTTTACACTATCTTGTTATTAGTCTATAAACTCTCATATAATTAGTATTTTATAATAATGTATGCATAAAACTAAAATTTTTGAGTCTAATACTTAATAACATAACATTTTATAGAAACTTATGCAAATGGGAGGAAAGAATTTAAAGTAACAAAAATGCAGGGAATATTGTTTGCCATTAAAAGAAGAGGATTGAAATAAAATGACATAATTCTCTCATAGCATGCAGGCGGCAAAGTTTCCTTTTATGATGAGAAACTGTTTTGTTTCGAAACAACCACATAATCCTCAAAATAATCGATTGTGGTCTCTACAGATTAAAAATTTGCTATATGCTAAAAAATCAATGCTAAGTTCAAAAACTCATATTTTATAGTACTTGGTTTTCTCAGAGAGAAAACTTTTTTTAATTTTCATTGTTAAAAGAGTTAAAATTTGTTCAAAGGTCTATAAAAAATAGATTTTGAAGAAAGTTCTTTAGAAAAAGAAGTTCTTTTTCTTTAATGTGTACTTATTAGCAAATCGATATGGGTAATGGGTGCAGCAAATGGATTTGGTTAACTATAGTAATTCAGAAGCATAATTTTTAAGTGGTTGCTACCATCTAGATGTTAAATACTGTTATTTTCATTGGTTATGTTATTTTATTGGATATGAATTATGTTATATTCATTGGATTTTTTTTACATGACTCTGTTTGAATGAACTTAGCATTTGATATCAGTTGAACTTGTTTAGTTCATCGTGCAATCATTTAAAGTACTTGGCACTTTTAAGTACTAATTACGAAATATTTGATGCATTAATACAAACTCACCTCTACTGCATGCAAATGGTAATTAAAAGTATCGGAAATACAAGGAGTTACGGCATTGAGAGAGAAATCAGAAGAAAAGAATAAACAGATGAAATAATCAAACCATAAAAATCCAATTATATTTACATGGTTTGATGTAAATACATAATATTTTTACAATACAATTATATACAAATTTAGATATCCTGAATTGTCGGTATCATTACATTTTTAGTATCTTAATTGTAATTTTGTGATATCCAAGTCTGACTACATGTATCAAATTATTTGATACTACAAGCCGTCTCCGTATACCAGCTGATCCATGTTTTTAATTAAGTAGAATTATAAGTAATTTGAGATTAAAATCTTAATAGTCAAAAATCAAGACAGTATGTAAGTATAATAGACCCACATTATTCAAGTGAGAGAGGGTTTAATTTTGGGTCTCTTACATGTTCATTTGGTATTGTGAGGAATTTGTTATTAAAATGTTTAGTACAATATATTCTAATTATTTCAATTGTACTTTTGATGGATAATAAATCAAATAAGCAACTTTGTCAAAACCAACTACAGCCAGAGCTAACTATTTATTGCAGTTAGGATAAATTTATAAAATAAATTCATTAACTAAAAATAAAAATATAAGTTAATACATTATACATTTTAATAAATTAACAAAAGTTAAGTTACCTGTCTTATGTCATTATCGTGGTAGTAAGCATACTCAAATAAGTACTTTGCTACTTGGGGCTGTGATGCATATTTTGCTATATTAAGTCTTGCAAAATTTATAAAAGGACCATCAGGTTGAGACAGCATTGATGCCTATATACAATGAAAAACATTAGATATATGACAAAATCTTCAACAAAAAAATGATACATAAATTTAAAACTTTGCTTAAAAAATAAAATAAAAGATAGTATAGTATTAGTTCAATTATTCTTCCACCGGATGGCCGAGCAGTTAGCGTGTCTGACTGCGAAGCCAACGGCTCTAGGTTTGAATCCCGCTCAGGGCATGGAAGTTTCTCTCTGTATGTTAAGCTCTGGTGTGTGAATGTGGCCCACCCTATGAATGAGTATCTGGGGAAGTATGGCATAGGTAATGTTGCTCGCTTCTGTGACTTTCGTCACAAGGTGCTGACCAGGCAATGTAAAATGAGCAACACTTCCGGCACCTTTCATAGCAAAGAGCGATAAGTTCGATGCCGGCCATTAAAAAAAAGTTCAATTATAGTATGTAGTAAATTTGAAATTTTAATTTTTTATAGAATGATAATATTTACTAATCATAAAATGGATTCCTAGATAAAATCGTTGGTCTGAATACTTCAGTTTTAAGATTTAAAGATTTGCGCTATTGTCGAATCCAAAATCTTTCAGATCCTATTTTTCTGAATAAATGTGAAATGTCTATCGCATTGATAGCAGTGGTGTCTTAAATAAAATATTTGATACATCATAGAAAAGTAGAGAATAACAACAAGTAATTATTTCGATAAAGATAATATGGCGAAACAATTCGTTCTAAGCAAGCGCAATAGCGATCAAACTCCATCTTCTTTTCAAATAAAGCAAAACAAAGATGACCATTATCCAGAAGCAATTGTTTGAACTGCTATTCAAGTAGATATCAAATTTAAAGACTTCCATATAAATATGCTCAGTTTTAGACGATTATGCAACGTTTTTTTAAACCACTTTTATAATTATTTACATTCCACGAAATAATTATTAAATCTACAGCTCTCAATTTCCCATAGACAAACTAAAGCTTTTACTTTATCATTTTTTTATTCACGCCCTGTTTAAATTAAATATTTTAGCAGTTTTAATATATAATTTTGAAATGTATTATAAATAATTAAAATGAAACTTACTGTTCCCAAACGGACAAATCTACCAGATGAACTTGTTATAGGTCTAGAAGTGTAAGCTGTACGTGTACGTATGGCTTGTTCCATAGTACCAGGCCTGCCGGATTGTGTTCCAGGACGTATGACTCCGGACAAGGGTCGTCCAGATTGTGTAACTGGTCTAAACAATAGTTTATCAAAGTAGTTCTTAAATAATATTTTAAAAGTTCACTTAATAAAGGCCCAGATTTTGAAAACATTTGCAATTTTTGACCATTTTCCTTTCAGAGAATTTTTTGGAATGTTTCATTCATTAACAGGTATTTATTACATATTACAATTTAGGGTATTTGCTTTTTTCATTCAGGGTTTTTTTTTCCTGTAATTTAGAACATTTTAATAATGGGTCATTCTTCTTTATTTATTTATTTGCTTTTTAAATTGTAGTTCTAAATATTTCCTTTTTCCACCATATGTTCCCCATTCAACATATACCTCAAACTTCTAAGAAAATTACTACTTGATTTTGAATAATACACAATATGTTTATGCAATTCTATATACATTTAGAAAAGAAAAAATGTTTCAGATTGAAATTCTTGTTTAATTATGGAGTTTTTTTGCTATTTTAAGAGCATTATGAAGAATTTTTTAAGACATCAAAATTCAAAATCTGAGCTTTTCATATTACATAAAACATTTTCTTAAAAGATTAGTCCTGCAGTGACTAAACAAACCATTGAGCAAGTAAACATTTTTTAAAACAAACTATAGTGAATGATCACATTTTCACTATAAATGATCATAAGCTGGTAGAAGTTTAGGTGGGCCAGGTTGACCCTAAAAATTTGATGATTTATTCTAGAAGTGCTTCATTTCTTCAATTTCATGTTTTAAAAAATGAATAAAAAACCTTTTATACACATAGTTAGGACTGATTGAGGGGATATGGGCCAGTAAAACAGAAATTTCATAATAATGCCAAAGAAAGTTTTTTGTTTATTAGATCAAAAAGAGAAAAAAAACATCAATTAGAACGAAAAACATATAAGATCAAGATTTGAATGATCTGAAAACAAATCAAAATATCAAAAGAACTTGAAGTAAAATACATGCAACTTTTAGCAATTAACTGTCGGAAAATAAATAATTACAAGTTTTATCTGCAATCAAATAAAACTAAAATTTGATTGGTTAATAAGAATGAAATAAAGATAACATAAAAAATATTAACCTGTATGCTTGACTTGTTCCCTTTGAAGTATTAGGATTTTTCAATGAAGTTCCAGGTCGTGCCATTTGGGCTATAGAGTTTTCATCCATGATAATATCTGCAATTCCTTCTTCATCAGTTTCCAGATCATCAACATAAACTTGTTGAGAGAGTGCTTTCATTTTCAATGTCCATGCTGCCTACAATGACAACAATGATATGAAAAGACAAAGTCTATAAAATGTACTAGAAATGAACTAGTAAGAAACAATATTTTAAAACTTATAAATAAATAAAAAAAGGTAAAATTAAAATTCTTAATAGAAATATATATATCTATATAGTTGAAAATCTTTATCCGAAATTGGCGTGACGCTGGCAAACCCAATTTTTCCAAATAATAGGTTTTTAAAACAAACAAACATCAAAACATGCATTATTTGGATTATAAAATAAAAATGAATGACACCAGATGTCAATTTCATAAAACATTTTGTTATTAGGTCGAATTAAGTTTGATTAACTAAAGAATTTTTGATATGATAGTTTTTATATATCATCAAAATTAAATAAATAAAAGTGACCAAAAGATAATTCAAACTTTGTCTTTCATGAATAAAGACACGTTTTTGTCCTTTTTCCTCCCATTAAATGGCAATAGAGCTGATCAGATAAAAGGAGCATTAAAAATTTTTTTTTATCTGATGATCATTTTGGAGTTAAATTCCGAAAGTAAAATAATCGTATAAAACAACAGCAGAACAGAATTGAGTAGATTTCTTTAATGAAAACATTCGTAATTTAAAGAGAAAAAAACTTCTTTGTCAGTATTCCTTTCAAAAACTAATAATATTCAGAATCATCAATATTCATAGAACAGTTAAACAGAGGTTCAAATATGGGACTTTGTACTGTGTATATATATAGATATATAATATTGAAACCAATATTCAAGACTGATAAGGCATAAGTAAAACCTTTGTAAGTTTTTTACAGTTTACAAATCATGAGATAAATTCAGATTTTGCATGGCTTAGGAATGCACTAACTGCTTCCCAAAGGCCGATTGAGAATGACCTATGATCGCCCCCTCCCCGACAGCCAATAAAAAACTTATTGGAAAATACTACACAAGCTTTAGTTAACATAAAACATTTTACAACTTCTGCTTTTTAAAAAACTTCAGATTTTTTTTCACAAAATATAAAACAAAACAAAAAGTTAAAATTTATGTAATGTAGGTTACAATTTTAAATGAAAAATGAATGAAATGATGATGAATGAAAGAAAAAAGATTTTTCATGAAATTGCAATAAAATTTTTAATTTGGGAAATATTTTTTCAATGATGCTTCTCTAAAAAATTGCTACTGAAAGAGCTTGTTTTTATTTATAATGACACTTTACCTGTTTAATAAAATAGTAATGAATTGGTGAAATCAGATCAATAATTCAATTTGAATTAAAGAACTTTTAACTCTGTAAATTCACAGCTATTTTTTTATTCTCTTTTGTGTTTGATAACATCAACAAATAGCTTAGCAAGAATTTATTTCCTTAAAATAAGGGAAGCCGAAATCATATCATTTCATATAATAATTTTATTTCACAGTTAATAATAATAATAAAAACCTAATTTTAATTCTCTATTCAAAACATACACTTTAACACATGTATATATATTGGAATGAATTGTTATTGTGTTTCATCATTATTACAAATATGCCTTTTAATAAACTTAAACAATGTTGAAGTACTTATTCCTATTCATACTTCATCATATGGTTTTTCATCTAATATTTGTGTACAAGTATCAGCGCATTTTTCAAAATGGTGTCGTCTATAATATGAAATTGCTTGAAAAAGTAGATCCATTTTAAAACGGTTAAGAAAATATTAAAAATAACTATCTATCTATTAAAACACTCCATTATAAAAGAAACCAGTTAAAGTTTGGGTAATTGTTGCTATGGAAACAAGAATGTGAGGGGAAAAGTTCATTTCACTTCAACTTTTCTTTTACTGCGGGAAAGAATAATATTCGCAATTGCAGCGCTCGAATGCGTCACCTGGGGAGAGGACCGGTTCCATGGTTTGACCCTTCCCTCTCCTCCTCTTCTTGAACAGGAATGTACTACGATATTTTCCCCTTTCTTGATATTTTTCGTATTTAATTGTCACAAATAATTTTTAAACCTTGGTGTTTATTTTGGACCTTGGATTACCTTGGTGTTTTATTTTGGAACTATGTTCAATGTAGTTTTCAGTTCCATATAGTTTCCTAACTTAAAATTTTTTAATCTATTTGAAAATCAAGACAGAAACCAACGTACTTCCTTCTCCTATGACTCTTCACACGGCAATGGTGAAATCATGCGAAGTGTTGCCATGGGTAGAGAGTTTTGCTCTACGCTACCTGCAGCCCATTTCGATCACCAATTGGGATGGAACTGTTTTGGCTACCTCCACGCTGGTCTAGCGCGTTAACCTACGAATTTGCCTACGAATCTGCACCGGCATCTGAAATTGAAGATCAAAATGGACTACAACTGGCGTCGAGCGGAACTCTCTTCCTATGGCAATACTTTGGATGTTTTAACCATTGTATGTGGAGAGTCATAGGAGAAAGAAGTACGTTAGTTTTTGTCTTGATTTTCAGATAGATAAAAACATTTTAGTTAGGAAACTATATGGAACTGAAAACTTCATTGAACATAAAAGGGAAGCGTCAAAAAAATTTCAAAAAATAAATAAATAAAAAAATAAAGACATTTGTGACAATTAAATACGAAATATATTAAGAAAGGGGAAAATATCGTTGTACATTCTTATACGACTGAGAAAAGGGAAAAGGAAGGATCAAGACATGGAACCGGTTTTCTCTCAAATGGTGTATTCGAGCATTGCAATTATGAATACAAGCTCTTTACTGCTTATACTTCCGGGTTACTGTTTCCAGTGTATATTTTGAAGCTATTTGCTCACAACGGGATTATTGACTATAGAAATGGGTTACAGGCGGCGCATAGCAGAACTCTTTATCAATGGAAACACTAAGAATACTTTCACCATTAGTATGTGGATACCCATATAGCACAAAATAGTCCAGTAGATGTCCACTAGACGTCATCGCAAACGTCCACAAAGGTCAAAGTGGTCGCCAGGCGGATGTCCACAAGACATCCAGTAGAAGATCCAGTAGAAGTCTAAAAGCCGTCCATCTTAGCTTTTACCTGAATGAGATGTGGATAACTTGAACCATAGCTTATCCAGGAATGGACGTAGACAGCCACAGGAATTATTCCTGATCTGCTGGAGGACGTGTAAAGAGCATGTTCTTTGTTTATCGTTCGTATATGAACTCTGTTTTTTTGCATTTCGTATTTTTATCCCCGCAATAGATGTAAGAGTGTAAAAACCGAATTAAAAACTTTTGTTTTGGTTTCTTATATCTATTGAGGGCATACAAATGCAAAAAACTAAATTGCGGAGCTTGTGTAACATACAAAGGGCATGTTCTTTATGCGTCTTCGTATTAACTTTTTTAAAAAATTTTCGGTTATACTTGAGCAAATGACCTCGGTTTTTTTAGGAAGACTTTAAGGAAATCAAATATTCAAGATGATTTCTAAAATTCCTCAGTCACCTAAGTACGCAGTGAATGAAAAAAAATCATCTCAATTACTAAATTTTTGAAATTAAAATGTGCTTTTAAAGCATAAATGTGATGCAATTAACATTGAAATATTTTTTTTAAAATACGGAATTCTCCTTTAGTTAAAAATATGAACATAAGAAGAATTATTTACGGTTTGAGTAAAATCAGGGAAAATCGCTTATATGATGATGATATTGACTATTTGATTAATGACTATTTGCTTCTTTATTGACTATTTGAGCAAATTCGTGATCTGATAAAAATTTTCAACGTTTGGTCAATTATCAAAACTAAATTTAATAAAACTATTGAGTATAATTAACTTAATGTGATCATACTTTTAGAAGCACTCTATTTCAAAATTAAATTACAAATTAAAAGCCTTCAAAAGTTCCTGATTTTAAAACGACAACACAATAAAAATTTTAAAACAGCATAAAGTATTTTATTATTAAAAATACACATTATTGACATGAACTTCCACAGATTTTTTCTTCATTCATTATCATGGGGAACAACAAGGATACATACTTATCTGTGGATATGCTTAAAGTCTCTAACGCATGCACGATTGTAATCTTTTTGGAGGATTAAGAGAAAGTAGATCTCTCACATAAACTTGGATCAATAGCTCCTCTCTTCCAAATCTACTTTTAAGTTGGCCTATAATTTTTTGATAAGCACAATTCCTGTCTACATGGAGGAAAACTTTTGATCAACTCCTTAGCAATGCTTGCTTTTACCATGGCTTGTGATAGATACGAAAATTTATCATGCTTATTCAAATTGAGATCTTTATCAAATTTTTGAAATATAGTTCCGTCACACTTAACACCTTCATAATATCTCTATTAAAAGTAGGAAGTTGAATTTTAGGATAAGGTAACAATGTATTTCTTGACAAAGTATTCTCACCAAATAAAGAATCTTTTATCTCAGAACTTGCAAATTTTATAAACTTCTGTTCCAAAAGACGCAAACGATCAATATTATATATATGTTTCCGATTAATCAAATTCAGCCTTGCATTGTTGCTTCATAAACTTCACTAGCATTAAGATTGTCACTGATTTTCATTTCAATCTCTAACAATAAGTTTGCTTTTTGTTCAATGACTTTGATTAACTTGTCGTCACTGTTTCAAATAAGCTTTTCTTTATTAAAATCAAAGCAAGCTTTAGAGAATTTTCAACGATATCGTGTTAGATATTAGACTACGAATATAAGCAACCAATGACGAATTGGTGATAAGCACTTAACGAATATAACTTCGTGAAATAACTCAATGGAATGGTATATTTGCTCAAATGACGCTTCTCAAATGAATTACAATAGGAAATTACTTATTTATCACATTAAACTTAAAAAATACTTGGACTTAGTAGTATAATAACCTGCACTCAACATTGATGCTTTTAGAACACCAAAAAAAATCGTTACTATAGGAACAAAAAATTACTATAATAATTAATTAATTATCATAGTTATTTTAACATTTTTTGGTAATTAAGTTAACAATGTTAGATACTATTTTGAACTCAAATGATAGAATTTCATGTGAAATTTCAATATCATTCGATCATTGATATTATCATAAATTTAAAGAGTTTTGGCCATTAAGTTAATGTAAGTAACTGTGGTTTAAGATTTAACCGGAAATGTAGAATTTGATGTTACACTTCAATATTGTTAAAATGTCATTCTTTGAGAAAAAGTTTTCGAAATTTCGAATCTAGTTTTTAATCAAGTTTAACAAAATGAAATACTGCACTGACCTACACGGGGCATTGAATTGAATGAAGAACTTTTATTCATTGAAATAGTAAGTTTTTTGTAACAAATTAATAAGTCTAAGTTTGTAAATCTAAGTTTGTAAAGCAATAAAATTACAGTAAGCTCTCGACTATCCAGAATAATGTGGAGAAAGGTCGGCCGGATAATAGAAAAGCAGGATAAGATGAAGTTCCGCTTCCTACTCCTTCTTCCCATATAATTCAAACATATAATACACATTTGAGGATAAATAATTGATGCTGTTTATCAATAAACTGCAAAAATTTGAAAAACAGTGACTAAAAAGAGTCGAACTACGCAGGTTTTACAAATTTTGCAGTCGACAGGCTGATAGAAGGGGAGTGGTAGTTGATGATAACTTTAGTATTTCTCCTCTTCCAACGACAAGTTTTAGTAATAGCGATCTAACATTCCCCCTTTTTTTACCAGGGTAGGTAGTGCAGAGACCGGATATTCTAGAGACGGATAATCGAAATTTTACTGTATTTGCATAGAAATTTTAGCATGAATATCATTTAACACGAATAAGCTAAATCATTAAAAGCTACTACAAATATGCTTACAGAATAATATAATACATAGACTGGCAATATAACTTTGATTATTTACTCATATACAAAAATAATAATAATTAAACCTTGAAATTCAGAATTCAGATTTATAAGCTAAGAATATTTAGAATTAAAAGCCATGATGCAGTTGTGATGCTGAAAACATTCAGAATTATAAGTCATGATGCAGTTATAATGTTGAAAACATTCAGAATTATAAAGCAATGGCATAACGCAGTTGTGATGCTAAAAACATTCAGAATTGTGAGCCAAGATGCAATTGCGATTCTATAATTAGTATTTATAACTGTAAATCTAGTTCATTTATAAACCAATCCATGCATGTCTCTGTAAAAAGAAAAATCAAGCAATTTAAAATGGCTGGCGCCGTTAACGCGATACTAATATTTCCTAATATATCATTTATGGTAATGACACTATTCATATGTTTCATCTCAGTCATGTTTTTTTAAAACTTGATTAATTTTTTTTATGTGCTAGAATTACTTATTTCATTCATTATAAAACACGCGCGAAACAGTGTTTATAATTGGCGGATATCCTATCATTAACTCTTTGATGTACAAGAAATCAATTAAAGGGAAAAATCAGGATTCATTTCATTTTCACCAAAATATTAATTGAGTATTGAAATTGTTCATATTTATGAATTTTGAAACTTAATATAATCAACATACAATTCGACTTCTTTTTATAAACATAAAAGTATATATTTGAAGTATAAACCAAAGTAAACTCAATTGCTGTTACAATAGTTCGTGATGATTTGTATTGATTTATACACTTTATAACTTAATATCTATGGGCATCACACAATATACATTTTTTTAATAAAACCGAAAATATTTTAATTATTAAACTTATGTAAATTACAATACTTTGCAGATTACTATAGTTCGCGATAATTTGTATTTAGACTTGTACTTTTAAATTTAATCTAGGCATCACACAATACCACTATTTCAACGAAACTGAATATATATTTACTA